AAGACACACAAGATGAACGCCAAATTCCACTCACACTCCCCATACATACTCTATACACCCCAGGTCCAGGACATGCACCCGCCCCCTACAGAGTGCAGCTCACATCCGAACCCAGGAGGTAGACCCCTTCAATCTGGGGTGGAGAAGAGCAGACAGCCAAGTCCCAGCCCGGGCCGCACCAGTCCAATCGACCAGCCCCCCGCCCCAGCAAAGCCCCGCCCCGGACCACACCCTACCAACGGCCAGGTGCCCACCCCCAACCGACCATCCCCCAGACTCCGGTAGCCACCCCAGCCAGCGGGCCAACCACAGCAACCAGGAGCCAGACCCCGGGAGCCCGAACAGCCCCAGGGAAGCCGGAGCGCCAGCCCCGCCTCCGGAGCCCCTCCAAGCCCCAAGTCCACCCGCAGCCCAGGCCCGACCAGATGGTCAGCCCCCCCCAGGACCCCATCCCCACATGGCCAACGGGGAACAGGGGAGTGAAAAAGACCCCGACACACACACCCCCACTTTCAGATGTGCTGTTGATGCGTGATGTTCTATAATGCAACGAAAACAGTGAAGAAGACAGGGCAGAGGCCAGCACTATGCCAGTTTCCCCTCCAACCCAACTCTAACCCTAACCCTAAATGTCTAAAAGCAAACAATGTGAGTGGACACAGGCATCAGTGGCGAGACTGTCCCATGCCGCCCCTTACATGCATAAGTGCCCACCCCCAAGTTCCTATGTGTAAATGTTATGAGGTTATGAGGTTATGAGTAAATGTCTAAGGTGTACAGTAAAATTGGAGCCCAGGTGGCCACAGCAAACAGATGTAAAACTGTAAAAAAACAATTTTGATGAAAAAAAGGAAAAAAATATTAGCTTTAAAGCTAAAGTATCAAAACTGTAGCTAAATACTACAATTAGAAAAAAGTAGCTAAAAGTTGAAGTAGCAAAACCATAGCAAAATACCAATATTTGAAAAAATATTGACTGAAAGCTAAAGTAGCAAAATTGTAGATAAATACTACAATTAGAATAATAATAGCTAAAAGATAAAATAGTAAAAGCAGAGCAAAAAGCTAAAATTATCAAATATTTTTACTGAAGGCTAAATTTAGCAGGACCGTAGAGCTAAAATGCAAAACTAGCATAAAACAACAAAACTCAATCCTGACATAGAAAATAATGTTTTAGAAGAACTGAAGAAGTGTCTGTGTTTTTACAGGGAATGTATTTAATTATAATTAAATAATTTAAACATTAATTACCTTCAGATATCCATCCATCCATCCATCCATCCATCCATCCATCCATCCATCCATCCATCCATCCATCCATCCATCCATCCATCCATCCATCCATCCATCCATCCATCCATCCATCCATCCATCCATCCATCCATCCATCCATCCATCCATCCATCCATCCATCCATCCATCCATCCATCCATCCATCCATCCATCCATTATTTATACCTGCTTCTTCCTTTTAGGGTCACTGCTGTTCACATCCAGCAGTCACAGAGCAAAGGGTGGACTACACCATGGACAGGTCACAAGTCCACCACAGGGACACACACAGAGACAAACAACCATTCACTCTCCCACTCACACTTAGGGACACTTTAGAGTTACCAATGAGCCCAACAGTCATGTTTTTGGTCTTTGGTAAACCGGAGTACCCGGAGAAAACCCATGCATGTATGGAGAGAACACACATTTTGATAAATGCTTGTTTATAGTAGCAAAGAATACTGTCCCCAACAGTGGTTATAAAATATTAAAAGTTCTACAATGATAGACGAGTTTCTTTGTCAGAAGTATTCTGACTCTTCAGCAGGGTCATGAGTCTTTGAGACTGTGTCAACAGCAAAACGTTTTCACCTGATCTCTTCTGACTGTCTGCCCAGGCCATTAGCGGAGAGGACATCACGGTCAGGAGCTACAAGGTGGAGAGCCGCATCACGTCCCGCTTCGCTCACGTCACTGTCAAGAGCTCAGTGGTCAACTCAGGCGCCAAGGCTCAGAGCATCGCCTTCAACGTGCAGATCCCCAAACGAGCCTTCATCTCAAACTTCACCATGTGAGCCGAGCTTCTCCCTGCTCTTCCCGTCCCACCAAACCGAGCAGGCGCAGTTTGAGCCTCTCTCTCTGTTGCAGGAATGTGAACGGCATCACGTTTGTGGGCTCAGTGAAGGAGAAGACCGTAGCCAGGAAACTGTACGCTCAGGCCAGATCCAGAGACAAGGCAGCGGGCATCGTCAGGTGCTGGACCAGAGTCAGGGGTTGAACTTCACACAGCTGCACAACTACATGCAATCAAAGTGGCTTTCTTCCTTACAGGACTAATTCCCTGGACATGGAGACCTTTAAGACGGAGGTCCACGTTCCTCCTGGCAGCAACATTGAGTTTGAGCTTCACTACCAGGAGATGATGGAAAGGAAACTGGGCTTCTATGAGCATTCTTTGTTCCTGCAGCCTGGGAGGCTGGTCCCACACTTCCAGGTGAGAAGGCCTACATGCRTGTTTTTGTATTCATCTGTGTGAACAGTTTAATTTAACCTAATCTGTTTTCAGGTGGATGTTTACATCTATGAACCGAAGGGAATCGCCTATGTGCAAACACCAAACACACTTGGAGAAAACTTTGCAGAGCTAATTAAAGTTATATCGACCAAAGACAAGGTAAAAAAGACAAAACCTCACTTCATTTGTAAATTATATGATTCACGCCAATTTCATGCAAAAGTTATTGTTTTTTATGACGAATCGTTTTGATATAAAGCTGCTTTCTTGAGACAATTATTCAGTCCTGATTTCTCTTCCGTGCTCAGGCTCACATCGTCTTCAAGCCCACCATAAAGCAGCAGAGAAAGTGTGAAAACTGCACAGATAGCGCCATCGACGGTGTCTTTTCTGTCAAATACGACGTAACCAGAGACAGCAACGCTGGGGAACTCCAGGTATCATCCAGAATTATGACAAATGTCTCTTTTCTCACTTTCAACACTGATTAAAAACCAGGGACGGAGCTAGACCTCTTTTTTTGCAAGGGGTGGACAAGGTGTTTTTTTTTTAGGGGGCAGAGCAAATACAAAATAATAATAATAATAATGATAATAATAAATCACTCTGGATTTGAAAATTCAACATGGCCATCCCAGATTTTAAAAGCCTATAAATCAGTTATTATTTAACAGCTATTGGGATGAAATGTTTTGGGGYAGCAAAGGATGATCACATCCTGATTGCCAATGCTAATCCCAAATTAAGCCAACCACTAATGCTATTGCTAATTTTACAAAGGGCTATAATTCAGCCATTTTTAAACATACGCAGCTGAAAATTTATACAGTACAGTAGTATCCGAAAACAACATTTAACAAAATATAAATGCCACCCCACTGGCTCCATCCCTGATTGAAACAGTTTGGACGTGATATTAATGTGGGATTTTTACTTTCAGGTGTCCGACAGCTACTTTGTTCTTTTCTTCGCTCCTTCGAACCTTACCCCGCTTCCTAAAAATATTGTTTTTGTTATTGATGTCAGCGGGTCCATGTGGGGGGTCAAAATGAAGCAGGTAGGCAGCAATTGTTTACATTTATCCCATATTTCTGGCCAACACTGCCCTCATGTGGCCATTCTTCAGAATGCAACCAAACTGTATAATTCTCTTCCAGACAGTTGAAGCCATGAAGGCTATTTTAGATGATTTGACTGTGGAAGATAATTTCAGCATTATAGACTTTAATCATAATGTGCGCTGCTGGAATGAGGACCTGGTCCCTGGCTCTCCTCTTTACACTGCAAATGCTAAAACATATATCGAGAACATCAAACCCAACGGAGGTACGACAGCAAGAGCATCATTCTCTTATCATGAAGTTTTTTGCCATGTCACATGGTCACAATCAATTTGCAGGAGCAGATTACTGGTGGGGTCAAACCCCTCCACGGTCTGCAGTTGTAAACTGATTCTTGTGAACATTTTACTGACAGGCACCAACATCAACGAGGCGTTAATCAGATCAGTTCAGATGCTGACCAGGGCGTTCAATCAGGGAGTCTCCAACCCCCGCTCCATCTCCATGATCATCCTGGTGTCTGATGGAGACCCCACTGTTGGTAAGAACCAATCAGAAGACCAGAAAGGCTCATTTAAAGTCCCCTGCCATGCTTACTGATCTCCAAAACTGGAAGCAAAAAAATCCTTGTGTCATTAGCTGTTATTGCTTAGGTTTAAACACGGACTCTCTCTGCAGGAGAGATCAAACTCAGCGTGATCCAGAAGAACGTGAGGCGAGTGATGAAGGAGGAGTTCTCCCTCTTCTCTGTGGGCATCGGCTTTGACGTGGACTACGACTTCCTGGAACGTATCGCTATGGAGAACAGGGGGATGGCTCAGAGGATCTACGCCAATCACGACGCAGCAGAGCAGCTACGGGTACGTCAGCTGCATGAAAACGACAAAAGGAGCCTTTTCTCCTCATTCCTTCACCAGATCATGATGGAAATTATTTTTAAAGATGCTATTGATTTTATAAGATCTATCAAATATTAGAATTCCAAGAAAAAAAAGTGATTTTTTTTTTGTGAGGATATTTTGATATTCTTCCCTTTTTTGTCCTTCGCAGACATTTTACCACCAGGTTTCATCTCCTCTGCTGAGGAAGATCAACATCCAGTTCCCAGAGGATGCTGTGACAGAYGTCACCCAGAGCCAGTTCGATAAGTACTTCAGCGGCTCGGAGCTGGTGGTGGCCGGGCGAGTTCTGCTGTCAGAGAGCAACACTCTGACGGGCTTTACTACAGCCTCCGCTGTGAGTGGAAACACCTACTCTAATTCTGATTAGTTTGAAAAAGTTACAAACAAACCCAAAGGTTGKTTTCTTTAAACATTAAGAACCAGACTGGTCTTCCCTGCTGACACAGTTCAGGGGAGGTAGGATCATTCATTTATACCCCAGTTACATAACATTTTCATCCATTTGTCACTAAATAAAGCTAATTTTAGTGTTTTATCTAATAAAAAGAGGACTTTTGCTCAGATTAAAGGAATATTTGAAATATTTTAAAGAAGGGTTTTGCAGAAAAGTAATGGACAATTAGTATCTTACCTGTTGTAGAAAACACTTTGCACAATCTCTTTGTAAAAAAAAAACTAACTTGTATAAATGCAGCCAAGATCAACGTCTGTTTTGTTGTTTTAAAAGAGCTTCAAATGTCAAATTTTGTGGCAGTTCATAATGCCATTTGCTATTCTTATATGCTGACAGCAGTTTTGTGTTGCAAGTATACAAATATAGGATCATTTTAGAGGAAGTGGCACATCCACAGAAACCTATACCATTTAACAAAGATTTAAAGCAGGGATGTCAAACTCATTTTCACTGAGGGCCACACAAGTGTTATGGCGGCTCTCAAAGGGACAGTTATTAACTTTGACGTTCCTCATCTCATTGCTACGGCTCAGCACAGCTAACAAACAATAACTGAGCTCTACCTGGTATTTTCTGCATAATAACATTTTGACACGTCCTCTTGGAAACATTAAAAAGTACTACATGTATGACTAAATCTGAAATAAATAATACAGAAATATTATTAAAAGTAAAAACAAGAGAGCTTTACTCATTTTTGAGATGTGGTGAGTAGCTGCCATCTTGAATTTCATCAGGGAATTCCTACTGGAGTGGTGTAAATTTATGACTTGTAAGTGGGACACTCCCACTTCCCAGTACAACTGGGCCACAGCAAAAGTAGCTGGTGAAAATGCTGCAAAATGGAGATTGTATACAATGAAATTCACCAACCTGTGCACCTCCCACCTAGTGGTGGGATGATGTCATTTTAAAAATAAAATAATCAAAATGCATTATGGGAGATGTATGGTCAATGTTGGGTTCAAAGCAGCATGTGCTTATTTTAAGGCATTATCTCAGGCCACACTCAGAAGACACACATGACAAAAACAGGGTAAGAGGTGATCAAGTCATGCGGCAACCAGCGTGACCCCTGCTGGTTGCCGCATGACCTGATCACCTGTTCCCCCATGTTTTTRTCATGTGTGTCTTCTTGAATGGGTGTTCCTAAATGTAATTTCATTGTGCTCCATACAACGGCAATAAAGGCGTCATCATCATCATCATCATCATCATCATCATCATCTTTGAAGCTCTTGTGGGCCACAAAAATGCTGTGGAGGGCCAGATTTGGTCAGCGGACCTTAAGTTTGACACGTGATTTAAATATTAGCATATTAGCAAACTGGAGGTGGTGGAAAACAAGCCAACAACTTTGTTTCCAAAATGTCATAGTAGTACCTCAGTTTAAACTGAGGTTATTCTAAGAGCTATCTACAACAGGTAAGATATTTATTGTTCATTATCTTTTAATATTTAGAAATTCTTCATTTAAAATTTTATTTAACTATTTTTTTTTATCTTCAACCATTTCACTGTCTAACAGCATCCACTGTCCTGTTTGTTTTCCTGCAGGCCAGTCTGGAGCTCCTTTTGCAGACGGACGCTGACGTGACCGAGTTGGACGCAGAGCTGGCCAAACAGCAGCACTCGTTCAATGGATTCGCCCGACAGATGTGGKCTTATCTCACCATCAAACAGCTGCTTGCTGAAAGGTGAGAACTTAAAGGAGAAACTCAGATCGGATGTCAAAGATCTGAATGTTGAAAGATTTCAATGTGAATGATGTCAGAGCAAGTTCAATAGTATCACAGTATCAATGGCTGCAATGAGTCTGATGTCTCTGTATCATCTTTAAAAATGTAAAATACAGTGCAACAAAACGCGCAAAGAAGTTTCAAATCAACATTTAGTCTATTTTCAGTACTTGACGGCTGCAGTCTGGTTCCCCCTGCAGGTCTTTGGCTACAACAGCAGCCAAAAAGAGAAAAATCACTCAGCGGATCATGACTTTGTCTCTGGATCATCAGTTTGTCACGCCGCTCACCGCTCTGCTGGTGGAGAGCGACAACGAGAGGCTGCTGGCCGACTCCCCGAGGGACCCCAAACAAGGCTGCTGCTCAGCAGGTGCCTGAAAAAAAAGCAACACGTTTACCAAAACCCCTCCATTTAAAGTTAATAAAAGTGATGTGAACGAAATACAAATGAAGGATGTTTGACACTTTCTCAGCTGGTCCATCTCATCCTCGTGTTGATGTGGTCTATGCAACACCACCTTCACATCCTCCCTGGGTCGTCATGCCCACTGCATCCCCCCAAGGTCCCCGAGAAGCTCAAAGTGGTCCTGAGGAGAGAACTCAGCCCGGCTTTAAGCCTGTGAACAGAGGTAACGAATGTTTACTGATCATCAACTAGCTTCCTCCTGCGGTGTTACCTGTTCCTAACCAGCTCAGTGTTTCTCCCCCACAGTGGACAACGACCCCCACTTCATCATTCACCTCCCTGGAAGGAACATGGATGTCTGCTTCAACATCGACTCCAAACCGGGTCACATCCTTAACATGCTGTCAGACGCTGGAACAGGTGCTGCATTTACTACACATTTGAGAAAAGATGTTCATAAACATGTTTTTTTTTTATTTGTTGTGGGGTTTGCGCATTTTCTTTCTTTTCAATTGTCCATTTTTTTTTCAACAAAATCTATGGCTGGGATTGTAAAACAACTTAAGTTTTAAAAAACATTTAGAATGGTTTATGTAAACAATGTTTCATGGAGCTTTACATTGCTGTCCATGTTATATTGCATATTCCTGCAAGACATGCACATGGCTGCACCAGAAGTGTTACAGCTGGCTTACTAATAACCATAGAGTTCTATATAAAAGATGAAATCTGATGGAAGAACTACCTTTAGGTCAGAAGGCTACAAAGTAACGGGTCAGATATTAATTGTTCGTCCCGTCTTGAAGGTGTCGTGGTCAACGGTCAGTTAATCGGCTCCAAAAAGGTGCAGAAAGGCAAACTGAAAACCTACTTCGGCGTCATCACAGTCTACTACCAGCCAGAAGGATTCAGCGTGACGGTCAGCACTGACAGCATCAGCACCACCGATGGCAGGAGCAACAACTCCTTCACCTGGGGGGCCACCGCTGATATCGCACAGGATGGGTAACTGAAGTTCTGTGTGTTTCTGAGATGCTTTCAGTTCCATATTGGATTTAACGCCGATTCTCTATCAGGGTGAGGGTTTCTATCAGGAAGAACGCTCACGTCACCATCACAGTAAATAATAGGATCCAGGTGATGGTGCTGCTTCACCGGGTTTGGAAGAAACATCCGGTTAACGTTGACTTCCTGGGGATTTACATTCCTGACAACAACCAGTATTCACCTCTGGTCCATGGGCTCATAGGTAGGCTACGTCACCAACACAAGGCTCACAGTACCACAGATACATTTTATTTTTAAAACAATATTTTCAAAGAAAACTATATCCTAACCAGGGCTATTCAACTAAATTGCTCCAGGGGTCACAGTTACGCAAAGCCAACCCTTCCGGGGCTGAGCATGGGTGGGGTGGAGGGGTTGCTCGAGATAATAGGGGAAACAGTGCATTATGTGGTTATTTTGTTGGATTGAATCATAAATTTAAAAATTATAATTGATTTTAAAATAGTTTTATATTAAATTAAGTAAAAAGGACATTTAAAAAATAWATGTATTTTTTTAAATGAAGGGGGCCGAACAGAAGTCACCCATGGGCTGCACGTGGTCCACAGCCCTTCAGTTAAATAGGTCTGTCCAAACCATAACCACACTATGGAAGAGCATTGTATTCATCAAAGCAAAATGACAGTGAATGGCAATGGCATACAGCTGTGTATGAATAATAAAATCCTAAAATTTTTTCATTTTAAGATGAAATATTTAGATCAGGTGTTGATCTAACACATTGAGACATCTAGTGGTCATTAGTGGTACTGCAATGTAAAACATTGTTCTGACATTCCCCTTTGACATCACTTCCTGTTACTTCATGTGCAAATATCTCAAATGTTCATCTCAGCGGCATGATTTTTTTGGGGGCAATATGTCATCAATGATATCTTTCTAAAAAATGCATTCATATGTATTACAAAAATTTATTGTCACACTTTAACATCACTGCCAAGTTCAAGCTGTAGTTTGAAATCAAATCTSTGATCTCACAGGGCAGTTTTCTCGAGAGCCTGACGTGAGGGTCTACGACATCCACGAAGGAGCCGACCCCCTGAAGAAGGAGGCCACCATGGAGGTGAAGGGCAACAAGCTGCTCGTCACCAGGTACTACCTTGTGTATTTGATTAAAAACAGATAATAAAGGCCGTTTCGAAGCTAAGCCTGTGTATTTGTGCTTCAGGGGTTGGCAGAAGGACTACAGACAGGACATAAAAAATGGAACGGACGTCTACTGCTGGTTCATTCATAACAGCGGGAAAGGTTTCATCGACGGTCATTACAGCGACTACATTGTTCCAGATCTGAACAGCTTCCTCCAGCTCCCCTGAGGGGCCACACTCACAATCAGCTGCCCCCTGCTGCTTTTAGAAAAGCTGCAATCATCTAAAAAGTTCAAACAAAACAAAAAACATGCAATGCAAGAAAAAAAAAAAACACATTTTGTAATTTTCTTTATTAAAAAAGTATGCTTTTCCATTTGCACTAAAAGTGAGGTTTGTCAAACATACTCGGACAAAACATTGACTTTTGTTCCAAAAATAAACAGAAAATACAACGAATGTTCTACGTCTCCCTGATTTCCTGGTTATTAAGGTGTTACTATTTACACACGAGCGTCTGGGAATGAACTCTGACACAGTAGAGCCCCTCAGTCAAGTGAGCGTCTCAAGATTGACCAAGAGATTTTCAGGCCAGTTTTGAAAAGTCTTCATAAGCGACGTCCACTCTATCTCCTCTCCGATGGCCCTGCAGATTAAAAAAAAAAMAACAYATTTTTTTGTAAATAAAACAATTTATATATTTACACATGAAGAAATAAAGGATACAGGTGGCGACAGAAGCACGTACCGTGTCGAGTGTGAGCGTCGCGCTGAAACTTTTCTCATCGATCCCCTCGAGCACGGCTTCGGTGTCTCTGTACGGACCGTTCAGGATCAAAACCCGCTTTCCTGCAGGAAGAGTCACAACATGTTTGTCCAGTTATCTGTAAAAACAACAACAACAACAACAAAACAAACAAAGTGTCCGACCTGGAGCTGGTATGACCGTCTCCAAGTGGTTCTGGTCCAGTTTCAGTTTGTCTCCAGAGTCGATCATTTTCACCACCGCACCATATTTGTCTCGCACCTCCTGTAATCGGRAGCATCCACAATCAATACCGTTATTTTTTGTTTTATTACACACACCGCTAACCTAATAAATGCGTTACGCCATTACCGTGACAACAGCCTTCTTCTTATGGTACTTCTCTCCGAGCTTTTTGGTGACAATTTTGACAACTATGTTGGGCTGCAGCCAGTAATCAGTTCTGACCGACGACTCCTTCTTCTTCTTTCTCTCCTCCATCTGAACAAGAAAAGCAAAAATGGTCATGACTTTCAAGCACACACACACACACACACACACACACACACACACACAC